CTGTATTTTGCGTTTGCGGCCGATTTTATGTGCGCCACCGTGTATAAATTAAAATAAACAATTATCAATCAAAGCCGGTAATAATCGCTGATGGTAAATTTTGTAGGAATTGGATTTCTTTTCACAACTAATAGTCGAGCTAACTAGTCTTTCTTAACCAGTTATACGTTGACGTGCATCCACTCATTGTCAGACGGATATTCTGTTTTGGACAGCGAGTCGTCAAAGTGTGTATGAATTTCACGGCAATAAATTCATGTTAAGGAACGCACCCGGTTTGGTCTCCGTCACTTAATAGGTGTATTGTACGGCCGGCCATAAACTGTCGTTTCGGGAGGCATCGCATCGCGTGCCACAAAGCAGGAGCAAGTGCTCTCCGACCGCGGCGGCGGGCAGCGGTCATGCGTGCAGACGTAGCCGTTTACACGTGTGACCGTATCGCACCCTCGGTCGGGAGATATGTAGCGCGGAATCTAGTTAGTACCCTTGTTGGCTTTATCTCCGTTTGGCTCGGAGGTCGGCCGTGTCGCTAGATTAGAAGGATCAGCCCCGCGCGCACGTTCCCGCGATCGCGATAATTAGCAAAGATGGAATTTCGTATTTTCAATCCCCTGCATCTTCGTGCCGTTTTAGTTTTCAATCTCAAACCGGAGTATACACAAGCTGGATGAAGTAAACCTTTAATCACTTTGTTTGGCTGTTTCTATACAGTAATTCTTTTAAGCCAAGTAAATCTCAAGAGCAAATAAAATCTATGTATGAATCATCTTCTACGATATCGCTTGCGACAATAATATTTATGTAATAAATATTTATAACATCGACAACTGGAAACTGAAGGAACAAGTACTCGTTCGTAAACACATGAGATGTTATTTAAGTCGTATTATATATTCCTCGTGCGCGGGCTATTTTCGAAGCAGCAACTACTTTCTACTCCGTTTAATCCATAGCGCGATCAAATTCAATAAAAACAATAACTGAGCCAGAGGAACATCATTGGACACAATGGACCGCGGGATATTGCGGCAAACGTTGATTGGATTCGTATGTAAGTATTCAGTTGGGATCGCACGTGCGACGCCGACGCGACGCCTGGACCTAATCACTCGCGAATGACCTCTGGAAAAACTCTTACGTGTAATCGCTTCCCAGGCAGTATTTTAATCATCGATTGCGGCCTCCACGAAGGATGGAGCACGCCGACCATATCGAAGTTCAACGACAAGGATCCTTTAAAGGTGACGAGCGACGAGATCGTTTGGATCGTGAATCTCATGTACGTGGGAGTTGGCATCGGCTCATTGGTACCATTCATACTGATGGACAATATCGGACGTAAGGGAACCTTGCTAGTCACTACAGGACCGAAGATCCTCTCGTGGATCTTCATCGGGTTATCCACGTCTGTACCGGCCATATATGCTGGACGGATACTCGCGGGCATCGGATGTGGAATAACGTACGCTGTAATGCCGATGTATCTCGGCGAGATCAGCAGCAAGCGAACCAGAGGTCCTTTAGGTGTGGTATCAGCTGTTTTGGATGCGTCATCAATGTTCAGTGCTTAGCCTAATTGCAATAACATATTTATCGTTTTAAATATATATATATATATATATATATATATAAATGTTAGATATTTATTCACTAACATCAAATATGTTGATCTTAGGTGATAACTGGCATCTTTAGTTTGCATTTTTTTAAAAAGATTACAAACCTATGTGGTTTTACGTTTAACAATAACGATCATATATTTCGCAATCGTTGTTAAAATGCACTTGAATGACGTTGTTCGCGATTAGTTAGTATTTTTAAATGTTTCATCACTGAATAAGGCAAGGCCTTCAGGTACTTTAATGGCTGTACTACTCAACATCGGGATGCTGCTCATCTACGCAATCGGTCTGTGGATCAGTCGATTCGCGATGGCGATGATAAGCTTGTGCGCGCCGGTGTTCTTCCTGCTGACCTTCATGTGGTTACCCGAGAGCTCGGTGTTTCTCACGCGGAAGAATAGACTCGGACCCGCGGAGAAGACCCTTCAGTGGGCCCTGGGTAAAGAGAACGTGGACGAGGAGCTCGAAGAGATCAAAAGAATCGTGGAGACCGAGGACAAGTGCAGCAAGCTGACTCTCCGAGAGATGTTCAAGGAGATCATCACCAAGGCGCATAACAGGCGAGCCTTTCGTATCGCTCTGATACTGTTAAGCGGGCTGACATTGACCGGCGCGGCGCCGATACTCGCGTACCAGTCGTACATATACAACGAGGCCGGCTTCGAGATCTCGACCAACGCCAGCATCATCATCACCGGCGTCGGCATTGTTCTGGCTGGTAGCGTCTGCGTGTCGGTGGTGCGTCTCACCGGCAAGAGACTCCTGCTGCTGATCGCCGCGCCGATTTGCGTGGTATCGCTGGCGACGATAGCCATTTTCTTCGAGCTGCAGTCCGGCGGCTACGACGTCTCTCGATTCAAGTGGGTGCCCACGGTCTTCGTGGTGATTTACGTGCTCGGCTTCGGACTCGGCCTTAATCCGATACCGCTGGCATACATCGGCGAGATCTTCGGCGTCGAGGTCAGAGTACCCGCCGCGGTGCTCAATGCTCTCTACTACGCTATAAGCACCACCGCCATTGTGAAGTTCTATCAGGTACGTTGACGTCTCTGTAAGAATCGATTTTGTTTTCGCGAACGAGAGCCGCGGTAAGCGGGTTATCGACAGCAACGATCAGTTAAGAGGTTTAACCAAAAAGGATTCTTTGCTTCGTAATAGTATTATACAGAGCACGGTATGATATAACATCGGTTTAATAGTCCTGACGGCCAAAAAGGAGTCTTTACCTCTAATAATGTTAAGAAACATTACATTACCTATATAAATATGCAAATTACATCATTTTATTAAACGATCAATATCTTATTGCCTATTAAAAAGATCTGCATAAGGAATTTTTTCTAAAACTAGATTTGCAATTTTAATAACATACCGGCTATTTAAAAAGCTTTCTCGCTATAAATGCGTATATTATATCCATCTAATAAATAGAATGGCTCATTACACGTTTAAAGTGTAACGAGAAATAATTTTTTCAAACTTATATGACTTTCTTTCTATTACTTAATATTATGTAGTGAAATTATATAATAGTAGAAATCATTTGTACTGTGTTTGTAGGTCGTGCAAGAGTTATACGGCACGTTCGCACCATTATGGACGTTCACCGCGATAACGTTTCTTATATGGGTATTAATTTACCTATTTGTGCCCGAAACCGAAGGCAAAACCTTAGAAGAGATACAATTGGAATTGCGAGACAAAGAGTGACGTATATATAGACAACTATATAAAAAAAAAACAGGCGTGGCATTATGAATAATCCAAAGATCCACTTAAGTCCACTTTTACAACGCATATCTAACACGCGAAATAAGACTTGACTCAATTTTATCAATATCAACATTCAGAGATTATATTCAGATTATAAAAATATTAGAAAGATAATGTTTCTGTTAAATTATAATGATAGTCCAGTTTACATTTTTTTAATATGTACTATCATTATAATAATTTAGGTCTATATACAAATGAATAATTAGCCAATATTGTGATGGTACACACATGTATACATTTATGTAGAAAAATCTTGATGTAGAAAACAGATAGCAAATGCTATTTCAAAAATAAAATTTATAAAAATAGTGAGCTGTGAAATAATTCAAATGAGAGAAAATTTCAATAACTTTGCTCAAGATTTTCATCAATGTGTTGATTTATATTCTTATATTTTTTTATGAAGACAACTTATTGCGCAACTTATATATATAAGTATATTTGTTTAATTCTAGATAATATTGTAAGAGCACAAAGATAACGGAGAAAAATTAAATATTTCCGTAATAAAATTAGCATGTATAAAATAATAAAAATTAAGTATAAATGCTTTTACCGTTTCTGCGAATTTCAGTTGACGCACTGGCATACATATTTCGTTGATATATTACTATTAAATTTAATTTGACTTTCTCGAGCAATTGAATAAAATTCGAAACATTTAATGTTCATATATGTTTTCAACGATATTTACAATTATTATAAATATTTGCATATTTAAATCATATTTAGAATCCAATTAGTCTTTCTCTTTTATTGTATTTTTATGTCAAAGAACTTTTTTCCATTTAATCATTTGTTCTATGTGCTTTACATAAAGTTTCAAAATTGTATAACATCGATAATGGTGTTAAATCGCATTTGGAGCCGGTGAAAGCACTAGGGAGAAACGACGCGGGGGAAAATCATTGGTCTTGTTTGATCGTAAAGCTCCAACTCCGCAAAGAGAATCGTTTAGTAGCGATATCGTATACGACGAGATTCGTATGTTCGATCGGACAAGTTAAGTTCTCATTAAAAACGCATTTGCAACGTGAATTCGCTGGCCTCCTTAATCCTATCTTAAAGTCTACTACCTTAAATATTGGTAAATACATCCCGTTGCGTGGTTCCTATATTATCTTGATATTTGTGTCACCGCATAAATAGAAAAATAACTCCATCATTTAATATGAACACTCTCTATTTGATTTGATTACGACTGTATAATTGTGAATATTGGCGTATAATTATTTCGATGTCTATGCAGATATTATTATTATATAAAAAAATATTATTCAAACTCTTATAGAATATAACTTTACGCGTATGAAGTATTTCGCTAAACTGCTCGTTTTATTCGCATAAAAGATTGAGGAAATTTTTAGTGGCTAACGATGAAGTGGCTTATAAATTTTTCGGCCAGACTATCTTTATACAGAAACCCGCCCTCGAGTACTCGCGCTCGATAAAAAATGCAACATTCTCTAAGATCGGTCCTCTCGTCGTCGTAAACTGCCGAGTGATCTCCCCTCATATGATTGACCATCTTGACTACGCTGATGGCTCGTCAGCCGTCGGTATATGACGGAACATTGGTAGGACGTGGTACGTTGGACAGGGCATGTCTTGCGTGTTAGCGTTCCTCTCGAACGGAACATCCGTACATGTGTATCGCGCTCATACGTATGTATATTTACAATTACGCGGAAATGCATTTGCCTATATGCACATATAACTGTTTATCCGCCGATACCCTCTCGCGTGATGTATTAGTCAGAACATGTGGGTTCTGAGTACACAAATGCGGATTTGAGCATGATTAGATTTAATATTTCAATGCGAGAGTAATACTATCTCATGTATCCGTGCGTGGAAGGATAAAAGTACTCATTGATACTGTTGATAACACTGATTCGTAACGCCGAAACTATATATAAGTCGGATGTAGAAAGGTAAAACAAACATGTAATAGAGTAAAAATTATTTTATGACTATTATCTTATCTATAATAGCTGTTATTTTTTACATACATCTTATAGTAATCATAATTTTATATAATGAAGTAGTCAGTAAAATAAAATTTCTATAATTTTTCTATCCATTGTTTTTTTTTCTGTCAATAATTTGGTCAATAGTCTCTAATATGCAATATGCGTTGTTTAGCACGAAGACTTATTGTCAATTGGACCGTCACTTAAATCACCTCTACAGATGTGTAAAAGTGTAGAAGTGTTACAGAACAACAGAAAAGAAAGAAATAAAATGTATACTTTGTATTTTGAACGTGTGTATGATTGCAAATTAGCATGTAATCGTAATAAGCATAATAAGGATGAGAGATTGAGCGAAGCTGTGGGTGCAAATGTTGTCCATTGACCTCGTACATTCCATATACCCTGATCTTATGAGCCATCAGTATGACTTGACCCTGTTGGGCTGTTCTACGTACATATCTACTGATATATCCCTACCGGTACCTTGCCCTGTTAGGGTGTACGTTCAGCTCAAGTGTGTGCATTAGTGGCACGCGTGTGTATCAGTGCTCCGTTCCACACGCACATATATTACTGGCAGGTATGTATATCTACACATATATATGTATGTACATATATATGTAGAGGAAGAGAGAGGGAGAGGGAGAGGGAGAGAGAGAGAGAGAGAGAGAGAGAGAGAAAGCAGAGAGATCCTTCGATAGTGTGCGTTGTATCGCGGGTACGGCCCCTCGTATAACCCGAGATCAAGATTGATAGGCCACGAGTCGCAACACATACGGGGCATCCACTTAGCGGTGCATTATCCGAATGAGAATGTGTACAGGCTGGATCTTACCTAATGCGACGCCCGCAATCCCGGTAATGGCGACCGCTTTGGCCGTCGCGCGCGACGACGATCTTCGCCAATCGATAACGCCGCGCGCGCGTTGTTGTGTGTGTCTGTATTCTGTATACCGAGTAAACGCGCGCCGCGCGAATTTTTTTCACGGCCGTCCGGCAGGCAGGTGCGGAAGAAGCTACTCCCGTGACCTTGCAAATCGTATAGTCAGAAACAGGTTGACGGCAATTAACAGAACGAAGACGCGCGCGTGCCGAGGGCGATTCTTTCCGGTTTTACGCTCACCGTGCGTCCAGTCAGTTCAGTCGCGTGATTGTTTTTCACGCTATCGCAAATTAGATTTTAAGTTTTCGCGTGCGACTCTTGCTCCTCGTTCGAGCTCTGTTTTGAAAAAAACGCACGCTGGAGGAAAAGTTCGCGTTTAAAATAAAGTAAAAAAAAAAAAAAAAAGCGAAAAAAGAGAGACGAGAAAAAAGAACATGAACGAGGCATTGAGCGAAGAGGAGGTAAAATGGAATTCCTCGGAAAAGAACACGTTAGAGAAAATACATACTTTGGCATGTGGCAAAACGTTTTTGCTAATGGCACTGCTCCGCGAAACTGAAAAATTATATGCTTTTTCAGGGGAGTATTATTATTAAATTGCAGCTGCGTACGCGACTTGTGTGCATAAGTGTGCGCTTGTGAAAAGGTTATTCCGCGAGCTGTATATCACGTAAAAATATTTTCCAACAAGACACAAAATATTGCACGATATTAATATCTCCTCACGACACTGCGTTACATTTAAAATCGATTTAGAATTTCTTGTTTTATTAAAATCGTTCATTATTAATCCTCGTATAAATAGCGTATAATTATGTAACGACATCGAGCACAAAATGCTTCATGTATCATATCCCAGGAAACATTATTATAATTTCAGTACGACATGAAAAATTAATTAGATAATGCTGCAGTTTTCATTAAAAAAAAAAAAAAAAAAAATTTAATTACTTTGTTGCCGATTTTTTCCCTTACAAATTGCAAATATGCGAGGTATTACCGTAAATTTTTATGTAAAACTGATATCATTTTTTGCTGCATAAAATAACTGGTAAATGAGAAACGAGGATTGAGCAGTTGCTACTTCACGCTAGGCTAAGTAGACTGAACACAATGATTACGTGTCTTATGTAATACTATAATTATTTTGGTATACGCGCAATATCTATTACAATGTTGAATAATTTTTAATCTCATATGCGTGTAAGTTACATAATTATTCGGTGATCTAATGCATATTGCACAACGAAAGCAAACGCACATAATACAAAAACGAATTATTACCTTTATCTATTCCGTTGATCCAGCATTTATTATTATAATTTTGCACAATAATCTTTAACATGATTCATCCGAACGCTTTGACCGTGAAACGATTGCATTTAGACGATTATTCGGGCTTTTTGCAATAATATGACTATTATTCACTGAGAAAAAATCCCAAAAAATATTTATTAGGTGGCTCCTAATAGCATATTTACTTATTTTTTACACATATTTATTTAGAATTAGATATTTTTATTTCAATTAAATAAAAATATCTAATTCTAAATAAATATGTGTAAAAAGTAAGTAAATAATGCTATTAGGAGAGAGCCACCTAATAAATATTTTTTTGATTAAAATATTTTTTTCTCAGTGTATAACTTGTATAGCTACGTCATTGCAGTATACAAAACATCGTTTATCAAAATACAATAATTGCGGTGAATCACTTTTAATGGATCATAGTAGAGAATTTATATATTTATACATTATAATATTATGCACACCGAACATAAATTTTATGTACACTGAAAGCGTTTAAAACAACTTGACGACTTTTGCAGAAATCTTAGTAAACTTTATATTAATAAATCCAGTTGATTTTGAGAAATCGACATGAATAAAATATAAAAAGAATAGCTAAAATTTAAGAGAATATTGAAACTGAAAATATTTGCATTACAATTTTAATGCATTGTATCGTAACGGAATTGTTGTCTTATAAAAATGGCATAAAATTTTCTTCAATATTTCCTCACTCCGCTAATCGATTTCTTACTATTACGGACGACAAAAGTTGGTCTTCTATCTCTTTATACGAGTCATAACTTTCCATTTCTCTATATGAGTATATAATAACTTAAGCGAGATAATCGGACGGAAAGAAATTTGACGTTAAGAGACAACGTGACGTGTGATTTCACTCATCCTCGCGCCTACTTGCGAAATAAGTGGATCACCTTGTCTCATCCGTTTTCGTGCGTCGGATATAAGACCGTAATCGCGGTTGATACATCGCCGCGATCGCTCTTCATTATCGTCGAATGTGTCCTGCAAGCTTATACGGGTATATGTAGGTACGTTTCGCAAAACGACGTAACTTTGTCGCGGTGGCGAAGTGGCTTAACAAGGCGCGCCGGACGAATTACGCTTCTTGCGTATTTCGGCGGAAGCATATGGATATCGTGTATTATACGAGCGTGTGTGTTCCGTCCGAAGGTGGATCCAGATCGAGCGAGCGAGCGCAAACACACATGAATAAACAACTTACTTCCGCCAGCCACCGTTCGTACTCATTGAAGCAAATTGTTCGTTCGCGTTCGTTCAACGCTTGTTAACTTGATCAGGATTAGGAGGTTTCCGCGCGCAATTTTGTAATCGTTAACAATGAAATTATCTATAGTGATAGCGTGCTTGATAAAGGTAATCGAAAACGAACGAAAAGAATGAATATGAAGCATATGTTAAATCTACACGCATGAATGTGTTGATTATTTTACACAAAAATTTTAACAAGGACCTTTTTTAACAAAACTACAAAAATTTATTCAGAATATACACTGTTGGAACATTTTTGTAGTTTTGTTAAAAAAAGTCCTTGTTAAAATTATTGTGTAAAATAATCAACACATACATATGTAGATTTAACATATGCCTGCTATGTTAATTTAACTTAACAAATTTAAAATGTAAAATTATTAAAATAATTTTAAAAATACGTTAAAGTAACACAATTTGAATGTATTTATTTTAAATGTGTTAAAATTTACAGAAAAAGAGTGTTGATTTTATCTTACAATCTTAACTTCAACATAAAAGTTATGTTAATTAGACACATAATTGACCTCAAATTACGATTAGAATTACATTCCCTTTCTATTGAAATATTTTAACACAGTATCGATGTTACCATTTAACACATTCATAGGTATTATGTTAAATTAACACAAAAATTTGAGTGGACCGTTTGGGACATGTGATTTATGTTATATTTAATACAAATTTTCCAACAGTGTGTAGGAAGTTTCCACGCGCAATTTTGTAATCTTTAGCAATGAAATTATCTATAGCGTGCGTGATAAAGGTAATCAAAAATGAATGGAAAGAATGAAAAATCTACCAAGATATACAGTAGATGCGTTACGTATTAATTCAACAAATATAATTAGTCGCGAAAAGAAGGGAGACGTTCTTTTCAAATCTAGGCACAGAATCTAGGTCGTCCTTGCACGTTTGTCAAAAAGTTAAGCAGGAACGGACGATAGAAACTTTAGAATCCTCACAATGCGCAGATTTCGACTGGTTAATTCAACGGAAGTGGCAGCCGAGTGCGCGCGAACGAGGAAGAGGGGAAGTCGTTTTAATCCTGCCGCGCGGTAGGGTTAAATTCACCCGTTTTTCGTCGCATTCTTCCATTCACGCGCCCGGTTCTGTCCTTTGTATTCCCGCTTTCGTTCGCTTTCGCGTCGCGAAACGTGAATCGTCCGGCGCGGCGCGGCTCGGCGAACGCCGACGAGGCGGGCGTGTAAAAAGGGCCGCTCATGCGGCGGCGACAAAGCAGGCGAGGCACGCACGCCTCGCGCCTCGCGTGTCGACGTGAAACGCGTCGGCGGGCGAATTATCCGTTGTAGCAGATCAAACGGTCTCTCCCGGGGAAACGGGGAAGCCCTTCATCACGGCCCTTTGGCTCGCGCCGTAAAGCGCGCGACTAAAAAAGGCCCCGCTGCCGTCCGTCCCTTCGAGCGTCGTCGGATTTATCCCCCCCGGTGGCGGTGATCAGCGCGCCGGCACCGTCGTCGGCGAAACGACGTTAAAATCGATCGAGCGTGGACACCGTCCACCTGACTGCTCGGCGGCGTATAAATCAAAGCGCTCACGTGTTAATAAGAAGAGAAACTGCGGACGCAGCCTGACACCAAAGACCGGTATGCATCGGTGCGTGGCGGATTTGATAAAAGTATTAAATCAAAGCCATTCGCGTTCTATTATAATACGTGTATACTGTGAATTTAATCGAATATATTTCTTCGTTATATAGATTTGGAATTTGCACGCTTTATGTATGTACACTCATTGCGTGTTTAATATTTGAGCAATGTGGCCTTTTTGTTCATGCCGGAGATTGAGTCTGTTCATTTTTT